AAGTGGTATGGCGACTGTGTCCGGGCAGAACCCGGACCACAGTGGAGATTTGGATGCCCAAATCGCAGTTTCTTGATTTAATTTTTTTTGTATGTCTTTGATATGGGCATGCATTATATTATTCCAGTGTACCTGATTCAACATCTCAGCCGGCCCGAGGCTGCCCAAGCCAAGATTCGCCAATTACAACGAGAGCTCGGCAATTCCACTGGTGTGGCCTCAGGAGCAGCCGCAGGCGCAACCATTGTCAGGGTTTGCGGGATGTTGCTGCTGCTGTATGAAACCAGGGTATGATACTGGACCCATATTATATATAGAATATAGATTGAACATCGAGTGTTTTGTTCCAGGACTTGGTGGTCCCAATCTCTATCATGAACCACGTGATGCTGGTCACTTTGCTGTGGGAAATTCATTGGCAACACCACCTTCAAAGGCGTCTATGAGTCCTCTTCCTCTGAACAGGGGTTGGTCTGCAGAAACTGTTGGCTCTTCGCTGACACCATCTCCTATGCCACAAGATGCGCAATCTCAGTGGGCAAGTCCTTGGAACGCGCCCTTACAGACAGAGACAAGCACACCAAAAGAAACAGTAACAGCAAGTCCGACAGTAGAAACACCGAAAGGGACAGCAACACCAGCACTCCCAAGCCAGACTGCACTGCAGGAAGTAGAAGCAACACAGGTGCAACCAAGCCAGACTGAGCCAACACCAGAAGCTGCAACACCAATGCAGCCAAGCCTGAACGCACCACCAGAAGCAAAAGCAACTCAGGTGGAGCCAAGCCAGACTACACCACCGGAAGTCAATGCACCACATGTGCAGCCAGGGTTATCACCAGAAGCTGCAACACCAATGCAGCCAAGCCTGAACGCACCACCAGAAGCAAAAGCAACTCAGGTGGAGCCAAGCCAGACTACACCACCGGAAGTCAATGCACCACATGTGCAGCCAGGGCTATCACCAGAAGCTGCAACACCAATGCAGACAAGCCAGAACGCATCACTGGAAGCACATGCCACACCAATGCAGCCAAGCCAGAATGCACCACAGGAAGCACCAACAACAACACTGGCGCAGCCAAACCAGACTACGCCACAGGGAGTATACGCAACACTGGTGCAACCAAGCCAGACAGCACCACCACTTGCAGTTCCAACACAGGCAAGCCTGAGTGCACCAATGCCAGAAGCAGCAACAATGGGGCCAGCAGCGCCAAAGGCAACAACCGTGCAGCCAAGCCAGAACGCATCATTGGAAGCACATGCAACACCAATGCAGCCAAGCCAGAACGCACCACAGGAAGCACCAACAACAACACTGGCGCAGCCAAACAAGACTGCGCCAGCGAGAGTAGACGCAACACAGGTGCAACCAAACCAGACAGCACCACCACTTGCAACACAGGCAAGCCTGAGTGCACCAATGCCACAAGCAGCACCAAAGGGGCAGGCAACACATGTGCCACGAACCCAGACTGCAGGAGGATCTTCCACAGACCTAGCAGTTGCTGATGGTAAAGTCAAACCTTTGGCTAACATCTATGAAGGAGGTTGCTATTGGCAGCCACTTGCATGCATTATAATTTATGTAAATATTTACTAAAATACAAGTCCCACAAGATAGCTAAGTTGGTTTATAAATGGTTTAAATATGGTTTATGGTAGATATGTATTATAGTTAATTGGGATTATCATGGTTTATAAACCAACTTATAACTGGGAGGGCCCATCCTGTAGGAGTATCCAAAACCATTAAAAAAAGGGATCCCCCATTTTAACCCATATAATTCTGAAAAATATGAATATATCAATTTGGTGGGTTCCCGAATTCGAATGAAAAGTTTTTGAGATTCAATGAACATCGAACGTTGTGAGTCAAACTGTTAGACGTAAGTGGTTCAAGAAAATCTAGATACCTTTTAATTTGTGTCCTTATCTTCCCGGCCATTTGTCTGAGGATGAAGCGGTACTTTAACCCGAACAAGAAGGATGGTCCTACAGCCAGCGCAGAAGCATTGAAGATCTTCAATGAGCCCGGTGGTAGCAACTTATCTTGTGATACCACACATGCCACGGTAAAATCGTCCACATGATCAGCACTATTCTGACTACTCTGATGTCGCACTTGGTGCTGTCATATATATATATATAAAAGGTATACCAAAATTTTGAGCATGTTACATTGCTCCGATCTGGATGGGGCCTGAGGTAAGAAGGTGAAGGAAATGTTGATCGCCAGCGGCGGAAACTTCCAGACGTTTGAACTGGAAGTGAAGAAAACGGTTTCAAAAACAGTTGAGAACGATCTTTGGGGTCAGTATGTCACTGAGACTTTTTTGAGCACCGAAAAAGGTTGGGATACAGACATGATCGAGCATAGCAAAAATTGGGCGAAGAAACATGGTCATCATCGCTATAGCGAGATTCATGGTAAGGAAGAATGGAAAATTCCTTTAGTGGAATCGTTCAAATTCAGTGAGAAGCAACATGAAGAAACCAATGCATCGACATCAACTACTGAGCAGGACCGGGTTTTCACTGGCATGTGAAGTGGTGTCAGCATGTTCACCCCTTGTCAGCCCCACAGTCCTCGGATACTAGATATGTAGGAACGTCAGCGCCTGGGAGGACCCGAATGGTGAGATGCTGAATTTCAATCTGTCGACGGACAGGGCCATGATTCTTGTAGCGCATTAGCCGGGTTGATACTTAAGACAGCACATGGCCCAACATTACATGACAATCCAGTTATCTTATTGGAACTAAGGACACCCAATGGCAATGGCAATGGCAACAGCAATGGCAGTGAACATGTTGATGAGACGCCTGCACCTAACAAGAAAGGTGGCTCAAAGACATTGCCAATGGTTCAGAGGAATAACCCTTTTAGCCACTCAACCAATTTATGACCCTATATATTCGCTGCTGTAGTTTCTTCCCAATTGTGTCCCATTTTTCGCCTGCTCCCTGGGTCCCAAGGCCAGCTGGGCAGTTACATCACCATCCTTGGCGCACGACTCGACACGGCCGACGAACAGAAGGTCAGATCTGGGTACCTGGGGTTATACCCAAAACCATGCATATAGTTTAAAGATAGGATCTCCGATTTTAACCTACATTATATATATAAAAATGAAACTGTCTCGAATTGGGGGGATCTAATGTACATCCAAGTAGTGTGGGTCTCGCACATGCATTCATGAACACTTAGGGAAAGCATCACGTGGCCCAACATCAGGAACGCATCCAAGCTGTCAAGACTGACAGGGCAAATTCGTTTCTGGGGTTGCATTAGTTCCAAGTGAACATCAATAGTCTAGGTCATTGTTGGCCAATTCTTTGCATGGGTCGCGCTCCACTCCAATGATAGTTGCAAGGGTGATTCATAACCTGATCAATTTTTAAATGTTGTGTGTCGCCATGAACCAATCAAGCCTTCTAAGGACACTTGCTGATCTCGATGCCAGCCGTGCTGGGGTGGAAAAGGTTTACAACGAGTTGTTGGATTGGCAACAGAAGCTTGTTGGACAGGATGACCCTTCAAAGCCAGCCACTAAGTTGATGCATACAATGAACCTAGATCATAGATTATCACGAATACTATATACAACTTATATCGATGAGAGATTTGCTATTTAAGGCAAACGAAAGACGAGCTGATCGAGGCGTTTGTTCGGGCTATGCAAGCGGATCTCAAGATGCAAAACAGTTTGAATAGAGCCAGGCTGGGTAAGCGAATGCATTTGTAAATTCTATATGATGTGAGCTAGATAATCACAACCCCAAATTTATAGCTGTTCCTTTCCCATCTGGCAGGAACTGCAAAGCTCCACGCGAGGCCAAGGCTAAGGCAGTGGCTCCCAAGCGCAAGGCTGCAGAGGAGCTCCCGGCGAGCACTCCTTGCAAGCGTCGCAAGAAGAAGCGTGGTGGTGCATCGTCAGCTCCATCCCCCGGACACCCTACCAAGAAGGTTAAGAAAACCAAGAAAACCAAGTAGTGAATCATGACCAACATGGTCACACAATCTTGTGCGATATTGAGCATTGGAGTTTGGTGGACCAATATCCTAGCAATTACGATCTTCAGATTACACACTACTAAGTCGCTATTGTTTCAAGGTGAACGATGCTCACAATATTTGGATTTTGGTTGCCATAGTGCAAACCTACAGCTGCAGAGTTTGTGGCACAAAACGGGGTTCAAAAACGACCGTTATCGCTCTGCACAGATTTGTTCAAATTGGCGGGTCCTTGGTCCTCAATGCAAATAGCAGCGAAGCCCTGGCAACCACTCTGTGGGAATTAATGGTTTAGGGAACAGGCAATGTGAATGCTCTATCCCATGGATTAGGTATGCTTCAAGCCGTTTGATGATGCCAGGTCACCTCTTAGAAGTGGATCATCGTGGTGATGACAGCCGCCAGTCTCATCTAGCTGTTCGTTCAGGGTTATTTGCTTGGTTCGTAGTTTGGAGCACCATCTATGTTGTCGATTAACACTGGTAGCTGCAGGCTACCGATTCAAGCTAGTCGTACCCTGATTGGCAGCCTAGCATGTGCACCCCTGCATAAATCTTAGGTACGGATAGTGATGCACAATGTGATGAGATCGCCGCAGAACTCTTAGAGGAGTACTTCACTGGTGTTTCTTGGCCAATGTGGCACGAGACTTTTAACCAAACCACTTCTCATCCCCCAAAAAACAACTTAGGCTCAGAATGCAAAAAGATGTACCACATCGGCAAACAGGATTTGCAAGGTGAGAGGAAAAAGAATCTTGCATATAATAGGTACCATTTTGGAGTTGACCTTCAAAATTTGGGATTGTATTGCGAATACTTGGGCATGGATAAAACTTAACCATGTAGACCATCAGAAATATTTTTTTAAAATTGATCCCAAAAAATAGTTGACCCAGAAATCCAATATATGCCATCACCAGAAACATTGTTCCAAAGTTGAGCTCTGTAAGCTTTGAGGGATAGATTCCATGTTGGGTATGGCTGCCATATGCAAACGCTTAGGAAAAACCGATGATCTACTGTGGAAAATTGCCAAATGTTCTGGTCCAAAGGGTGGCCGGAATGCTTGCCGTGCTTTGCGGCGCCTGATCCAGCGAGAAGGTCTCAGTCTTGCAGTGGACCTTGACTTTGTGGAGCTGACCTGCCGGCGGAAGAAGCCAAAAATCCAGGATATCACCATTGAATGGCCTGTACTCCCAATGACTAATTGGGTACGCTTCCTTGCAAATGAGCACCCTCAACTTTTACTAGGGGGCCATACGTGGCAACAGGATTGGAAAGGCTTGTTTACCTGGTTTTGGAACGTCTGGAAAGAAATGGAGCCGCATCATGAAATTTACAACAGTGGAAAACCATTGTCCAATTGCATACCCTTCCTGACGCATGGTGATGAGGGTCAAACACTTCGGAAAACAGCTTTCATGGTGCAATCGTGGCAGCCAATGATCAGCTGGCAGGGGCCCGATGTGACAACCATGTCAGGGTTCCTTGGCTCATAAGTTTGAGGTATTGTTTTTAAGCCCGAGGTACCATTTAATATCCCACACACATAATTATAATATATGGTTCAAGTGGTCCTTAGTGAACGATTTGTTTGTTCAGTTCCATGTGGTTCGCTCGTGAGAATATAAAAGATATACGAAAGGTGGCACAAATCATCAGGGTTTTCTGCGCCCATTGCTCAGGGCAAGCTTTTGCTCAAGGCTTCTCTACACGTGTATCTCAAGCTGGTGCTTTGCTGGGGAAAAAACCCTCAAACAGCTCAACAGGGCTTGGGTTTCTGAAATGCGTGAGCTATATGACAGTGGCATTGAGGCAGGAATTTCCATGGCACCAATGTTTCTTAAATCTATGAGTAGGGATCCTAGACATGAACCTCAAAGATTAACAACCGTTTTTTAGTGGCGCATTCATTGCAATACTTTATCTTGTGCGACTCAGTTGCTCCCATGGATGCTTCCTATCGGGTCAGCGACCACCCTTGCCTGCGGAGGTGAAGTCAGAGACCCTGTACCTGGTGTGGCTTGGTGGGAAAGGCGACTGGAAGTATCAAAGGGCAGTTACTTGGTAAGCACATGACAATGATTTTGTTGGAGTCCACGGCTATAGCGCAATTTGGATCTAGGTGCATGGTTCCTGCAGTTTCAATAATAGCAAGGTAGCTATTTTTTCCCCACCTGCCAGGTGAGGGTTGTTAGATTTTATCAGAGCGCATGCCCGCCTCCTCCTCCGCCTTCTCCTCCTCCTCCTCCTTCACTAGCTGTCCTCCTCGCCCTCCTCCTCGCCTCCGCCTCTTCCACCTCCACTTCCGCCTTGCTCCACCTCCACTTCCGCCTCGCCAACCTTGCCAACTCGTCGCCAAACACTTCGCCAACTTCCCAGCTCAGTGCGCACTGCTGGACCTCAACCTGCGAGCTGCCCAGCTCAGTGTGCACCGCTGGACCTCAACCGGGGACCTGCCCAGCTCAGTGTGCACCGCTGGACCTCAACCGGGGACCTTCCCAGCTCAGTGTGCACCGCTGGACCTCAACCTGGGACCTGCCCAGCTCAGTGTGCACCGCTGGACCTCAACCTGGGACCTGCCCAGCTCAGTGTGCACCGCTGGACCTCAACGGCCAGATAGAATGCCAGAAGGTATGCCAGATAGAATGCCAGATAAAATGTCAGATAGAATGCCACAAGATATGCCAGATAGAATCCCAGAAGATTTGCCAGATAATATGCCAGAAGATATGCTAGATAGAATGCCAGAAGATATGCCAGATAAAATGCCAGATAAAATGTCAGATAGAATGCCACAAGATATGCCAGATAGAATCCCAGAAGATTTGCCAGATAATATGACAGAAGATATGCCAGATAGAATGCCAGATAGAATGCCAGAAGATATGCCAGAAGATATGCCAGAACATATGCCAGAAGATATGCCAGATAGAATGCCAGAAGATATGCCAGAAGATATGCCAGGACATATGCCAGAAGATATGCCAGATAGAATGCCAGATAGAATGCCAGAAGATTTGCCAGATAGAATGCCAGAAGATATGCCAGAAGATATGTCAGATAGAATGCCAGAAGATTTGCCAGTAAGAAAATGTATAAATGTCATGGTGGGGATCACACAAAGTAAAGAAGTTCAGCTGTAGATAGCAGCCCTTAAGCCTTATCAAGTGCCAAACTGCAGGCTTTTGGTTTGAGAACTGGTTGGAAGAGCAAACGGATCTGCCACATGTGCAGCAGCAAGGTCACTTGGTCATCACGGGCAGGTCGTTTCCATGCACATACCGACCTCAATGTTGCAATGTTTCCAGTGATCCAGCATATTTCGTATGGTTGATACTGCAGATGGAAGAAATCCTGCACCAGCTTCGATACAAATAATGGGATATTATAATGGGATAAGCAATGGGCCATCTACCAACTAGTGCAGGATTTCTTCCATCCACAATACCTGTCATGATATATGGTATTAAATGGTGGTGGTTGTTTTTGAAATTAGACCATTTGTATTCTGGGTTATTTATCATTACGTCAGGATTGGTGGAATCAAAAGGCAGATGCGCCGTGGAAACTGGAACGGCCTGGGGCCTCACCTTTCAAAAGTCGTGATTGCCCTTTCTTTGATCTACCTCATGGTGATGATCCAACAAAAATCTTTACTGATGTGGCCCACACTTTCCATATCCATGGGGTTGGTGTGGACTTTGCAGCATCATCAGTGGTGCTTTGCTGTCGGAAGGGATTGTTTGGCACTGGCAAGTTGGATGCGTGCATCTATCGAGCCTACTGTGCATATATGCACCAGGCCCTGCCACCCCCCCCCCTCCCCCCCCCCATATGGGATGGGTCCCCATATCTGTCCTATAGATCTTCACCCGTGTGTGTGGGGGGTGGCACTGTCCCCCTCCCCCCCCTTTGTGTGGGTATGGGTCCCATATACTGGTCCCATATGAGAGCTTCCCCCTCCCCCCCCTGTGGTGTGGTGGGGGTGTGGCACTGTCCCCCTCCCCCCCCTGTGGTGTGGTGGATGGGTCCCATATACTGGTCCCATATGAGATCTTCCCCCTCCCCCCCCTGTGGTGTGGTGGGGGGTGTGGCACTGTCCCCCTCCCCCCCCTGTGGTGTGGTGGGGGTGTGGTATGGTATGGTGGGTATGTATGGTGTGTATGGTCGGTCTGGTATGGCATGTTTGGAAAGTATGGTATGTTTGGTATGTATGGTAGGTATGGTATGTATGGCATGAGTGGTTGGTATTGTATGGATGGTAGGTATGGTATGTAAGTCTGTTGGATATGGTATGTTTGATATGACAGTATGTATGGTCTGTATGGTATGTATGGTTACTATGATGGGTATGGAATATGTCCTATCTAAGGTAGGTATGGTATGTATGGCATGTATGCTTGCTATTGTATGTATGCTATTGTATGTATGGTAGGTGTGGTAATTACATTTCATATGTATGGTATGTATGGTATGTATGATAGATATGATAGGTATGGTATGCATGGCATCATTGACATGTATGGTAGGTACGGTATATGTTCAACAGAGGTAGTGTTGTCAGAGTACACAGGTAGTAAACAGGAAGTAGATACAGTAGATACATAGCACATGTATGTATGACTATAGGTAGCACGTAGGTACTTTGAAGGAGTATGTGTGCTACGTAGGTCGCCTAAAAGGTAGCATGTACCTAGTAAATGCGAGGCTGGTAGTCAGAAATGCTGCAAAGACCTAGCAAATACGACGCTGGACCTCAGAAATGCTGCCAATAGCTTGCAAATAGAAGGGAATTGGGGCTACTACCTGGGGACCCAACCCATGGGGGGGGGGGGTGGAGAGACGGAGGACGGGACCATATATTGAGTACTGTGCGAAGTTCAAGAAAACAACGGCATGTAAACCTTGGAACGGGCATGACGACTTGGGAATGGCGAACAACAATGATTTTCCAAGTTCTATCAAAGGCAAGGGCTTCGATACGGCGTTGGTGTGTTCATGGGTCTCTGTTTTCTTGGAGTCTCAGGACAAGGGTTGCCAAAATTCATAGGACGGGCCTAGAGTTTCAAAAGTTATATTCCCTATAATGCACAAAACGGATTTTTGGGCATCAGAGTTGTTGGCCTCAGGATGTTGCTCACGATCCTGATTTACAGATGCTCAAGTTCACCGCGTCTCAAATCAACAATTTCTTTCGCCTTATGCACAGGTCAGGTTTTTGGATCGACCATCAAACGCGCCAAGAGGTGGTGCGATATGGAGAGTTGTGGGTGGAAGGGTACGCCAATTTGGCAGCCCGCATGGCTTCTCAAGGGCTTCTGCTGTATAGGGTACGGCCTAAATTGCACATGTTTGGGGAACTGGTGCTGAGCCTATACCAGGGAACAACTGGAACAATGAATGTCTTGACCACGAGCTGCTGGGCCGATGAAGATTTTATAGGAGTTGTGAGCCAAACATCACGAAGTTGCAGTAGAGGTATGACTGGTTTGGCCCTATCGTTTTCCACCCTGCAAAAATGCTTGGGCAGATACAAAATCCAATTTGCAAAGCTCAACTGAGAAAAAAAAGGCTAAGGGCATGGCTCCTCAGCATCTCGGTGATGGCATAGTTCATCACAGGTGTGTTTGCATCAGCAGGTGCACGGGTGGCCTACTATGGGTTGGTGGTTCCTGTATGGGGTAATCACTACAACCTCGACCTATTTTCCCAAAGATCGCCTTGTTTTTATTTTATGACTTCAACTCGCTGCGTTTTTGCTTGAAACGACTCATTACCTTAAACACCTAGAATTTTCCACGCAATGGAAGCTCCAGGCAGATATGCAGACTACGTTGCAATCGCATGCCCCTTTGACAATGCATGTTTTCTTGACTAGTCATACTACTGCAGTTGCTCTGCTGATGGATGAGACTTTTTGTATGGCAGTCGGCTATCCGCACTCGAGTGCGCCAGATGAATATTCGTTCTGGTTCTGTCTCCTCTACGAAGACACAGTGACCTTCATTTGACGACCTAGTGAGGTGCCGTGGCTTTTGGGCTCTCAAGGTCAGTAGCCTGGTCCTACTTGACCAAGATGCCAGGGCCCAGCGCCGTCCCCCTCAATGGGGGATGGCCCAACAACATGTGATCCCGACTTCATAGCGGCGGCGCAATGAACGCGACCTATGGAATTTCTCTCGGAATCTGTGAAGGATGAAAAGAACACATGAGAGGACTCTGAGAGATTGCCTAGGTGTACAGCTTATCGTATTTCACTAGCTGCCGGTGTTTGTTTGCTGTTGCAAACAAATTGGAGGGTCTCACAATGTTATTGGGCTGGACACTAGCTTAATTTGCTCATAGTGCATGTTTTTGACGACACAGTGGTATATACCACTGTGCCTGGCGGCAATTACCTTGTGTGGGTGTTTTTGTTGGGCTCTGGCCCCTTTTGCTGTTTTGCTTTGCTGTTTTTCGTGATGGCGAAACGCAGATCTGGCTGGGGGATGTGCGTTTCGCTGCTTCTTTTTGGCGGTTTTGTGTTTTTCTGGTTTTGGGTATTTGCCGGTATGCATGTGACCACCTGCGTCTCATGCTAAGTTTTCTAATTTGTTTACCTGCTTCTCCCAATGTTAGGACTGAGCCTCAGAGCGTGATCGGCCAAACTAGAGGAAAAAAAAAGTCAGCTGGGTAATCGATGCCGCCAATCGGTGGACGGCAGCTTCTTCCATTACGAGGCAAAAGACAAAACCAGTACGGACGTCTGAGAACTGATCAAAAAAGCTGCGCTGTTTCAATCATGCTGGCAACACTTTCCAAGCATTATGGTACAGCACTGGATGATGGAACTCCGAGACGCCATGGCAAAGATGTACTTTGACATCGTCCTACCCTACCAACTCCTGTTTTGTAATTACTAGTTTTGGCCCCCCACCCCCCCTAAGCCCCTTTATATTACTGGGGAGGACCACCCTTGGGAGTCCAAAATCTATGTACATTTCCAACCCCAAAAACGGGCATCAAACAAATCGAACAATATAATATGTCGCTGGACTCCGCAAGAAAGCGCAAGATTCAAGATGCTGTTTTGAGATTTTTGAAGTTTTCAGTTTCAGTCGCGCTGACAAGGCGTTTGAGATTTTTGAGGTTTTTGAGGTTTTTTCTCCTGTGGCGGCTTCTCTCCCTTTCTTGCCCGCCCTGTTTGGTCGCCCCTGGTGATGTGCTGTGGTCCAGTAGGCTCCCCCTGGCAAAAATGGGTGGTATCATTGAAATGATACTGGCGGTATCGTTGGGATGATACCGTGATACCAGCGGTATCGTTGGAATGATACCGTGATACTGGTGGTATCGTTGGAATGATACTGCTATTTTTAAACTATCTGACCCCACCCATTTCAATCACATCAAGGCACAGTTGGAATTGGGGGCAACCTCACCAGCATTGGGCTGTGCTGACTGCACCTCCCTCAAAATGGCACAGCGGTTCAACTCTTGGTCGCAGTCTGCTATGAATTTCAAATCATCAAACATTGCGTATTCATCCACCCACTACTCAACGAACTTCTCGGACATCTCACTGTGAAAGGCAGTGATGGAAGTGATGGCATCGCATCGTTCAGGTGGAAAGTCTTTGGAAAAATCAATCCATAGACCTTCAAGATTTTCTCCAACGATGCCTCACGCCTGCCAGACTGTCCGTGGCGCTGTGGTTCAACCAATATACTTCAAAGTCTGGATGTCATCCTCCGCCAAGGTCTTCAAAGCGGTCTTGATGAGAGGAATGCCACGGGTCTTCATCATAGACGCCTCATTGATTGAGCCACGCAGTCCTTCAAGGAAAGCATCAATCTCCACGGGCGACTGGAAACCCTCGGGGGTCTGCGTCTTCTTCAACTGGGCCACGGTCTTCTCTTTCATCTTCATCAATGCCTGCTCGGGTTTCAAGTTCGCCCGCATCAGAACACCACCCTTCAACTTCGGCAACAAGATGAGGGACACAGTCGAACTCATCACATAGGAGTGGATGGACTCATACACAGGCATACAAGAAGAGCCCAAAACCAAATGACAGTTGCCCTCGTCAAGGTTCATCTGAAAAACCTCGTTGAATGTTGTGAAGATGTCGTGACCCGTCATCTTATCATCAAAGTGAAAGCCAAGACCAAGCGAAGAACCCTCCATAGGCACGACCAACTTCACAAAGTAGGGGCGATTGATATTTGAATTAAAATCACCTTTGAACTCCTGATTTGATAGTGAAGTGGTCTTCGGGATGACGCGTCTTGTCTTCTCTTCAATCGTGCCATAGACCAAGATGAGCCCATTATCAACACAGAAGCAACGGGTGATTGCCTCCCAGTTGGCTTCTGCGATGATGGACAACTCGTGCTTGTTAATCTTCTTCTTCAAGTCATTGCGAACATATGATGCCATCTGCGTCAATGTAGATTTGGAAAGGGTTTCTAATTCAGCAATGGACGGCTTCTGAAATGGTAAGGTGTCGCATTCAATGATGCTCAACCCATCAGGCGAAACAATCTTCAATGCCCCGCATCCATTCTTGGTCATCAAAACCAGAGACATCGTGATGAGACACCGAGGACAACGAAACGAGGACAACGAAACGAAAATCACTTGAGCATTCAAATGTATCAATAAAAACGGTTGGTGAGAAATGCTCCAACAGATGTATGCTGAAAAATTCAATGGTGAAATCAACTCACAAATCCGACATCAGCACTCACACCGAACCACCACTCCCATCGGCTTCTCTCCTTCTGGCGAAGTTCAAGAAGTCAAGGTGAAGAAGACATCAACCTGTCATTTGGTGAGCGGTGGCATCAGACATATTGCTGTCGGGGTGGCAAACGAACCACAGGGGTTGATTGATGCTGAAAGTGCGGACTTTTTTCCTTTTTCCCGAGAGCGCCTGCGAAGGGTTCTTCGTAAAAAAGCAGCCGTTATACTACATCTTCACACCTTCACACCTGCAGATCTAGATCTTCACACCTTCACACCTGCAGATCTAGATCTTCACACCCTCACATCTGCAGATCTAGATCTTCACACCTTCACACCTGCAGATCTAGATCTTCACACCCTCACATCTGCAGATCTAGATCTTCACACCTTCACACCTGCAGATCTACATCTTCACACCTCACACCTGCAGATCTAGATCTTCACACCTTCACACCTGCAGATCTAGATCTTCACACCCTCACATCTGCAGATCTACATCTTCACACCCTCACATCTGCAGATCTAGATCTTCACACCTTCACATCCTGCAGATCTAGATCTTCACACCCTCACATCTGCAGATCTAGATCTTCACACCCTCACATCTGCAGATCTACATCTTCACACCCTCACACCTGCAGATCTAGATCTTCACACCTTCACATCTGCAGATCTAGATCTTCACACCCTCACACCTGCAGATCTAGATCTTCACACCCTCACATCTGCAGATCTTCACATCTGCAGATCTCCTCTCGCTCTTCTTCTATTTCTCTCTTAAGGCGGGGGCGGTGCCGCCGGAGCGCCACGAAATGCAACCCTTTCGCACGAAATGGACGTTGGACGTCCAAAACCTAGGTAAAATTGCGATTTTGAAGCGTCCCCGGCAACCCTTTCACACGAAATGGACGTTGGACGTCAAAAACTGAGGAAAAATTGCGATTTTGAAGCGTCGCGCGCAACCCTTTCGCACGAAATGAGCGTTGGACGTCAAAAACTGAAGAAAAATTGCGACTTTACTTAGTCAATCGCAACCCTTACGCACGAAATGGACGTTGGACGTCAAAAACTGAGGAAAAATTGCGACTT